GCTATCTTCTAGCTCATTCGAGCCTATCGTGGTGCCGCCCTGCCAGGTCTGCTTGCGCCGCGGGGTCGCGGGCGATGCCGGCCAGGGATCGGCGTTCTGCGCGCCGCACGGCGTTGCGCGCGGCGTTGCGCACGACGATGGCGCGGCGACGGCGGTTGGCGTCACCGGCTTGACCCAGGGCGCCGCGCGCCTCGACATCGACGACGGCGGCATCGAGGTTGACGAGGCGGGGGCCGCCGGTCTCGCGGCAACAGCAGCAGGCTCGGCAGCGATGCCGGGGGTGACCATGACCGAGCCTCCTGGTCTTGCCTCGACTACTTTCTCGATTTCTAACCGGCTCCTGCAGGAGTGGGTGGAGGGGGACATTTTGCAGCGCATGGATTTCGTGCAGGCGTCCGCCCTCGCGCAGCCCACCGCCGCCCAGGTGGTTATCACGTGCCCCGACATTTGGAGCCACCTCAAGGACATCTTGACGCGCTTGGCCTACGACTCAACGGCCCTGGATCCTCGGCGCCGGCTGGGGCTGGCTCTTCTCGAAGGCCCAGATCTTACTGACCAAGTCGTGACCGCTAGGGGCTGCGCGGTGTCGCCCCTGCGCGGCATCTCCGCCAAGGTGGGCTGGTCGGCGGACGACGCGGCCCAAGCCGTCAACGCGGCGACCGCCTTCCAGTCGGCTGTCACCCACTGTCTGGAGTGGCCCCCCATGGCCATGACGGGGCGCCGCCGCTACAAGGCCGCGCGACCCCCGCTGCGGAAGGAGCTGGGCCGGGACGGGATCGAGCTTCTCCGCGACGCGGCTGTAGATCCAGAGGAGCTCTTAGCCACTCAGTGGTCATCCACGCTGGGCGGGCCCCCGCTGACAGGGGATGCGCGAGCCCGCCTTGGGACCCTAGCTGCTTTGGCCGAGAAGGGGGGCGACGAGCTCTGGGAACAGACCATGGGCCTGCACCTGGTGTTGTGGGCCCCCGAGGACGGGGGCGCCACTTCAAGATGCTGATCTTCGCTTCTTCGGCGCCCCTCCCCTGAGCGGCGACCAGCGCCCCTGCGGCTGGTGGCTCCGATCTCACTCCTGCCTGGCATGAGCTCCGTGCAGGGCGTCACCGACCTGTGGCGAAGCCCGCTCCTGAGCGAGAGGTGGGCCCCCCTGGTCCGGGAGTGCGCGTTCTCCGCGTGCCCATTGGAAATGGTCACGCCTGGGCGCAGTGGACCTCGCGATGGTCATGCTGGACGCGCGATCTTCACGATCTCGCATTCTGGTCCACGGTCCGTGCCAAGAATGCTGGAGTTCAAGGCGCCGCTGTTGCAGCGGTTCCGATGGCCTACGTGGACATGGTAGTCGATTTCCTGCCCTCCTTCATGGGTATCCTGCAGGCTGCGGGCGTCCCAGATCTGTTATGCCGCCACCCGTGGATGAGTGCAGGGAGCTCAGCAGGGGCGCCGCGTCTTTGCGTCAACCTTCTGTTCCCGAGTCACTACGTGACTCCTGACCAGCTACTCCTCCTTCGCCACTTGCAGAGTGCCATGCTAGATCGCACCCACTACGGCCTCGAGTGTTTGTTCGAGGGCCCCGACGCGTACATTTTGGAGGTGATGTCTCCTGCGTGCGTCCACCACTTCTGGCCTCTGTGCTCGCAAGCGCTCTTCCTTGGGTCCGGGCGGGCCCTGGCGCGCGCCCGCGCCGCCGTGCAGCTCTGGCAGGAGAAGGTGGATGCAGTTCTCGCCTTCGACCCGGACTCGGCGGCAACGCGGTTGAAGTGGAAACCGTCGCGCTGTGGAGGCCGAGCCTTGGCCGCGCCCTCAGCCGCAACGACTGCACTTTCGGCGTCGCGTCGTTGTAAGGATGTTCCCAGAGGCTCTGCTCCTTTCGACCACGTCGCCGAGCTGGCCATCAAGGGGGAGGTCGGGAGGGGGGGTGGGGAGGTGCTGAAGCTATTGATCACGCACCTCAGCTCCGCCACAGGCATCGCCCTTGTCGAGGCTGATCCCGCTCGCGGCCTTCGTCAGGATTCTTATGTCTACCTCGCGTCGCAGGGCCCCTCGGCCCCCGCGGGGAGGCTGCGCGCGCTCCTGCGGGGCGCCGACGAAGTCCGGCGGGTCTACGCCGCCCTCCACGGGCAGACGATCCAGGTTTGGCAGGGCGCCATCTCTCTCGAGATCACTAACGACCTGCACGAGGCGGGAGGGGGGGGGGGTCAGGGGAGGGGGGGGTTTTGCCGGGGAGAGGGGGGGGGGGGGGTAGGGGTTTCAGCAGGGGGGGCGATTTTCGGAGGGGGGGGGGGGGGGCGACCCCGGGTTCCGGAGGAAAAGGTTGACAATTTTCTGCAGTAAAGCGGCGGTGGATCACGCTCTCTCTAATGATGCGATCCGCAACCGGCCAGAGAAGCCGCCTCCAGGGAGTCCGGGGGGGACCTGGATCCCCAGGCGGTGGAGGTGGTCGTGGTGGACCTCAGGGCCCAGGAGGGCCACGTGACCCGGGAGGCCTTGATGAGAGTACCCCGTT